CCTGGAACTATATACGATCAACAACGAAAAAGTGTTCAGTACGTAGTAAGATTTTCAAGGTCGACTTGACACTAAGACCTGGGTTATACCAATATATGCATCAACATAGTTGTAGTACTCATGCGCGTAACCAGGCCTGTGGTCGGTAGCAGGAATATATATATATATATATATAAGGTACAAAGCAGCTTATGTTTTGAGGATACAGCTCGGGTTTTCTTCTAGACGTCTCTAGGGCTGCTCCACTTTTCAGCACGAGTCTTCCACTAAGGTTGTCTCGTTGACTGCCCGCGTCACGTTTGAGATTAGTCCCAGTCTAATGCCTGCTACTGAAATATTTCCTGCATAGACCAGCGATAGAAAAAATGACTGTGGTTTCACCGAATGTTTCCTCTAGTTTTTGGTTTGCTGTATCCTATTCTTTATTTCTTGATTTGCCCATTTTTATCATCAATTGTCTGTCCATGAACATTTTGGTTCTAAGCCGACTCCTTGCTTGCCTCCCTCTCTCATTTCCCGGATTTCCTACTTTGATTGAACCTTATTTCCGAATCCGTCTCCTGCCAGGACGCCATCGTTGTCGACTGGCAATTAACCGCCAGCTCTTGGCTATTTTGGTGCCTTCTGATTGGCTTGGCCTGCAGCATCTCAATCCAAATGAACTACCTCAACCGGGCATTGGACATATTTAATACCAGCATTGTGACTCCCCTTCTCTACGTCGTTTTTACCGGCTCCGTACTTGTGGCCAGTGCCATTCTCTTCCACGAGTTGAGCAGCCTGCGACTCGAGGACTTCATCGGAGTGGCGACAGGGCTGGTCTCGATTGTCTGTGGAATCTTCCTCATGACAGTTTTTAAGGTGAGTCCAGATTTAACCAAAATATGTATTAACTTTCCTTAATACCTGCTCTTCGTCTACATTCCCTTCTTATAACTGGCCCCAATGAGGTTGTTCAGGAATTCAGTTTATCCTGTCTAATTCAGAAAGTAGATCCACCAGAGGGTTTTTAAGCTATCACTCGAATCAAGTAGTAATGTTGTCCTCTACTGCAATTAGTGAAGTCAAATGGAGTACCATGAATCATGACACCAAGGCTTCGAAGCTTTCCTATTAAGTAGGGACTGTCAATAAACTTTGAATGCAACGTAGATGTAATAGTAATTGAATTTTCACCAACGAAATAACTGCATGTTAATTTATGATTTTTCTAGGATCAGCTGGTACTAAAGAATTATTTTTAATATCATGGATTTTGCGAACATACTAGCTCTTCTGGTAAGTTTTAAAGATGGTCAATGTAACCAAACAGATTTACTTCAAAACCTGTGACAGAGAATATAGATAGGAGCCCTGCTATAAAAGCCAGAAATAGAGGCGAAAAATAGAGCTTTTATTTAACTTGAGCTCTCCAAATCAACCCCTGATTCATACATTTCGATACAAATATGCAGTCATTTAATTCCAGATTTTTTCTTCGAATCTAGATCTATGAACCAGCCACTGTAACTTTTACCTCTCTTCATTTTTGTCTTTCAAGTGTTTATATGTCCATTTTGCGTCTCGTAAAGACATAAGCCCTAAATTCAGAACGTGTCCTATCAGGAATTAAGTTTAACGCGTTTGGATAAAACGAGCTCTTGGCTAAGGAGGCTTCTTTACTTTTTGTTAGGCTGGCACATAACTTCAGAACTGGATGATTAGGAGCGGTAATCGTGGTGCCGAGGGCAAGCACAACACAAATAGGCAGGACTACTTGCTCTGGGACCGAAATGCCTTTCATCTTTAAGAGTCGGAAGCTGGCTATACAGTTCTATTACAACGTCTTTGCCGTGAGGAGTGTACTTCGTCACATAAAGTATGAGTTTTTAAGCCAATTTCTTTTTTATATTAAGTTTGCTTTAGTTAATTCATGTTATTATAAAGCGTCAGTAAAATCCTACCCCAAAAAAACTACTTTCTCTATTTCATCGTTGGAAGACCAATCATATAGTTTGTGCCTAAAATGTTATGTACAAATCGAATGCTGACTCATACTTCACATTGAATTTATTAACAAATATTCGTATATAATTATATTTTTAAAGTTACGGTCCTAATTTATCATGGCTTTTTGACACTCTTTTTGACAGGATCTGGATCTTTCCTTATCCAGTCTCAATGTAAGATGGTTCCAACGCGACTCGGGACGGTCAGCCGACTCCGACACGCCAGATCAAGGGGAGGAGAAAGTAAGGCTGAATATGGGTACGAGGCCTGTGACAAGAGTTCGACGTGGAATTGACGATGAAGATGAAGGAGAGACGGAAAAAGTGAACGATGACTGGTCGGCGAACAGGCAACGAGAGCCTTTGCTGCTTAACAATAGCGATAGTCAATCTTTTAGAAAGGTAGCTAAATTAGAGGACAAGAATCATTGTCACAAATACTTCAATACCTTTTGAAATTAAAGCGTTTGTATAACACCTTCAGACAGTATAAGGTGATGAGAGTATGTTGAGTTTTACCGATAAATAAGCCCTAGATTTGGAGTTAGCACATGACTTTTATCCGTTTTACCCAAATCTTCATTTTCACGGCCCAATTAATACCATCTCCAAAAATATCCTTTTTTCATTCTGTACATAGTCATCTTCAATCGCGTTTTGTCTCATGCAATGCTGCTTTCACGGGAACGTAGTAGAATCGCCTTGAATGCGCTTAGCGCCATTAAATCTTACAAAAGAAAAACTATTTTTGGTCCATTCATTTTCTTCTGCATTAATATTCACGTCGTTTCAGAGAACTTATGTTCTGCTTCTTTGCAAAACATAACGTACTCCTCTTCGTTAGTATATTAGACATCAAAGCGATAGCAGTGAGTCGGCGTATAGACTGTCAGCAATTTTTCTCACCGATAAGGCTATAATTTAGGCCTCCTTGGAAATCCTATTAGTAAGGGCCACTCACAAACCATTATCTTAAGTATTTTTCTACCTTAGTTAAGCATTCTTCTTTCACGAGATTTGCTGATTTGTTCTGGGCATAATGCAAAGTTAACCCAGCACATCTCCCCTCAATAACCCCTAAGAGATTCGCGCTCAGATATGAGCAAACAATGTTTTAAAACAAAAGGCCCTTTGCCAATTGGTTACAAGATTCAAATGGCTCTAAAAACGAGACAAGCTTCAGTTCTTGCGGACATTTTAAGAAGTAAAGAGGCACATACCCCTCCACTCCTGTCCACCCCCAAACGCTAACCTGACATATTATTGCATTTAAAATATGCAGTCTGTGTAAGCTGTTGTATGCAGGCTAAGAACAGGAGTCTTTCATCCCTGGAACGAACATCATGAACCTAGGTCTTATTGGGGCTCCTTATGGAGCATGAGCCACTGTCAAACTCAGGCGGTATACTATCTTTGGAGGCATTCTACGGTTGGTCTTTACCACTCTTCTGTCTAATAGATAGCGGAAGCATTTTGGGCTGGGCCTGGTCGTTGTTTCATAGAAGAGCTAAGAAGAGAGTACCACGAGGCGGGCATCCTAATTATTGAAATAGCAATGAGCAACTGGTGAAAATGGTTGCTTCAGTCTCAAGTTTGCCTTTCACCTCTTTCCAGAGCACTACTGATATAACAGTTTAAGTATACAGATGCTGTAGTATCTTATCTTGTGGTCTAGGCTTTCGAGCTTAGTTAGATTTCAAACAATATTTTAATGCTTTTATTTTACTCACATCACTTCAATCCCCAGTAGGCTGGAGTGACTGGCCACCATTATTCGCTCTTCCTACCTTTATGAGATGGGCCACTCCCCTCGGAAATGCCTTGACTTCTTTCAAAGTTAGCCGACTATTTTGTTTCCTTTGCCATTCTATCAGAAACGAAACCTCCAGAACAGGTGCATCACTTCCTCGCCAGTCTACATGAGTCGACTTATGAAACGTCTTGGTTCAGAATTGCCGGCCTCCACTTGGCACCAGGAAATGCATTTCTTGACCTCCGAGTTTTCTGGTCCTCCGGGTGCCCCACCGGACATGCTCAAGACAAAACGGAGGTCCCCCACTTCCTCGAGGGCGAGCACTCCGCCCGCACCTGCCTTCTGTGCCGTGGAGTCGGCCGCCTGACTATCACAGAACCATCTTTTTTTTCGCACCTTGCTCTTCTTCCTTTCAGTAGCCCTAGTTCTCCCTCGACTTTCGTATCTCAACTCCTTTATCTGCTGTGAGTCCACCTCAAGGTCTGG